CTGAATCCTGGGTCTGTTTCTCTTTGTTCTGGTGGGCCATGTGAATTACTGCACTCTGGTCCCTGTGGAAGTTGTGTCTGACATCACGGTGGGTCATGTGGTTTGACAAAGGTAGAGGAATTTATGGGAAATAGCCCCCTTTTCTGCTTAGCTAGGCGTGTACAGATATATGGCAGTGAAAAGGAAGATTTCTGCCAGTTTGCTAGATTGAGAAGAGTAGGTGAGTATTTCTTTATTGGCATATAAATTCCCTGTGGAAGAGCGGCACCCATTTCCTTAACCTGGCAAATAAATATTAAGTATTGACTAGCTTACCAGGCAGCTCTCTGATGAACTTATATTTAAATTGATCAACTTACAAAAATCTGATTGGAGGGAACACATCTAACTTACGAGGACTACAAATGGGTAATGTGGATGTCTTTGTATGAAGCTTGGGATAAATTATTAGGAAAGCTTGAAGTCCATATAAAAATATTTTATATGTATATTTTGAGTGAGAGGATATGATTTCTGCAGGGAAGAGAATGAATTTCAAAGTGAAACAGTAAACCAAACAGTTAAAGGATATTTGCTACCTGAGATGTGTGATTGCTTCTCCTTTATATGAAGTCAAGACTTCAAACCCAAACAAACTCCAGTCCAGGGTACTGTATCACTCAGAAATTTGTCCACAAATGATATATGCTGGAGAGGGTGTGGAGAAAAGGGAACCCTCCTACACTGCTGGTGGGAATGTAGTTTGGTGCAGTCATTATGGAAAACAGTATGGAGATTCCTTAAAAAACTAAAAACAGACTTACCATATGATCCAGCAATCCCACTCTTGGACATATATCTGGAGGAAACTCTAATTCAAAAAGATACATGCACCCCAATGTTCATAACAGCACAGTACATGGAAACAACCTAAATGTCCATCAATAGATGTGTGGATTAGGAAGTTGTGGTATATTTATACAGTGGAATACTACTCAGCCAGAAAAAGGAATAAAATAATGCCATTTGCAGCAACATGAATCGACCTGGAGATCTTCATTCTAAGTGAAGTAAGCCAAAAAGAGAAAGAAAAATACCATATGGTATAACTTATATATGGAATCTAAAAAATAAAAGATAAAAAAAGACACAAATGAGCTTATTTACAAAATAGAAACAGACTCACACATAGAAAACAAATTTATGGTTATCAGTGGGGAGGAGGTCAGGAAGGAATAAATTGGGAGTTTGAGGTTTACAGATACTAACTACTAAATATGAAATAGATAAACAACTAGTTTATACTGTATAGCACAGGGAACTACATTCAATATTTTGTAGTAATCTATAATGAAGAATATGCAAAGGAATATATGTATATATATGGATGACTGAAGCATTATGCTGTATACCAGAAATTGACACAACATGATAAACCGACTAGACTTCAATAAAGGAATAAAGAAAGAGACTGTATAATTTCCAGATGGTTTCTTAAAGCCAAACTCAGATATCATAAAAGAGCCAGAAGAGAAGGCTCTAGAAGCTATAGAATATGAGATGTAACCCCTCCCCACCCCTCCTCAAAAGAAAATTCTTGGGAAATTATCTAGAAGGGGTGGCTTCTGCACATTTAAATTTTAAGTCCTTAACCACAAGTATGCAAAATAATTTTTTGAAAGAATGTATGGACAAATTGCTTTGATTTATTCCTCTGAGAGCGTTTCTGATAGATAGATCAGGGAGCTACTGTAGATTTTGGCAAACTGATAAAGTCTCCCATAACAAATGATGAAATGTGGGTTGTAAAGTAGCATTCTGATTCACAAGTTTTACCATCAGTCCCAAGAGTTATATAAATCTAAAACTAGAGGGATAATTCTGTGTTATAGGTTAGAGTCTGTACATTTAGACATTTAGAGGAGAGCCTTTGTATTCTGCCCTTGGCCCACATTTACTTCCTCAGCTTTTATCAGCGGTTTGGAAGAAGACATCGAATCTGCAGGCTTTATCAAATCTGCAGACGGCATTGAGCTGGGAGGAATCGTTAATTTAATAGATAGCAGAATTGAAAGTCAGAAATGTTCACCACAAGCTGTGCCCACGCCAAAAAGATGAAATGGAGTCAGGATGATAATTAAAAATTGCCATTTATTATGTTTAAAAAATTGATTGCACAATTTCCTAACAGAAGAGCCTTCACCTTTGTGGCAGCTTATTTGAAAGATACCTGGTTAATTTAGTTGACCTCAAGCTTAACATGCACTAAAAGTTTCAAGTCGCTGCTAAATAAACTAATTCACATTCAGACAGTATTTAATGGAAGCATTTAGATGTGTGTCTTTGAAATTGTGTTCCAAGAAGTATTAGAACCCTAGAGGTTTTAGTAAGTGTTCCATGAAATGAAAGGAATTAAGTTCTGTGGTCATTCACGCTCAGGAAATTCCATGTTAAAGAAAATTTCAGTGTGGGCTCCTCAGCACCTGTCAGATGCTAAGGTACCTGGTGAATGCAAAAAAGGGTCTGTAGAGACAAAGTATTTCAGATTAATTGGAACTCAAAACCCTTTCTTTGCGAAATATCTCCCTTGGAACCTAATTTGGGAAATGCAGACTGAAAATTTTGGAAGTGATAGACCCACTGTACTTTGTTTGATCAAATTGCATCTGAAGATGTGCATTCTAGTCTTGGTACCACGTTTTGGAGAGATGCTGGCAATGCATAGGGCGCAGAAGAGGCAGGTAAGGGTTTAGAAACCATTTCATCTAGGGAACCGGTGGAGACACGTTCAGATGTTTAGAATAGAGGGGAGAAGTCCAAGAGGGTCCAGTACCTGTTTATATGCTTCTGGAAGCAGAAATAGGATTTAGTGAGTGAATCTTCCAGGAGCTTCTGTTGGAATGAACACGTGAAATTTCTCCTAACTTGGAGCTATCCATCCATGTGAAAAATTGAGCTCCCGCAACTGACAACTGTCAAGACATTTGAGGAAAGAACCCCCCAATTTGGGTGGGAGCTTGGACAAGTTGCCATTTCAGGCTGGGGAGTCCAGGACTCTCTGGTCCTGGCCCCACCAGGTAACGTCAGGCCATGTTCCTCTGACCCACTGTGTAAGCAAAACCAGGGTGTTCTCTGCAGGGTTTTACTGTGTTCCATGGGTGTAGGACTCCTCACCAAGCATTCTCTCTGTCTCCACTGCTCTCAGTCTCCCTGCCTGTCCCCACCCCCAAGAGAGATGGTGGTTATTTGAACCCATGGCCAGTCTAGACAGCATTTCCTCTCCCTGTTCAGAAAAGAGCCACACAGTCCTGGGCCAGCCCCATGCAGACTCTTTCTGTTCCTTCACAGGTCTATGGAGCACACAGCCTCACTTCAGCCTCGAGGCCTGCCAGGGGATCCTGGCGCTACTGGATGTATCCTTTCAGGTTTGGAGGTGGATGCCTGCTGCTGTTTGAGAGCTCTGCCCTGGAGCCAGGCTGCCTGGACTGGAATCCTAACCCTGACACTTGCTAGTTCTGTGATCTTGAACAAGTCACTTGGCTTCATCATGCCCCCAGGTCCTCACCTGCAGCACCAAGATGGTAGTAAAACCTATTCCAGAGAATCGGTATGAGAATGCATAGGAGATGACCCATGTCAGGTGCTCAGGACAGAACTGTCATCGAATAATGGATCCATATGGTTATTAATAATAGTAATATGCTTATTTCCTAATAGGAGGAGGCAGCTGCGGGTGGGGGCTAGTAACAATTCTCCAGGTTACAAGAAGCTTTCACAAGAGCCTAGGGGGCCTGAGTTTTCCATTTGGTGACAAGTCAATGGCGGTCCTCATTCCCAGATCAGGAAACCAGAGCTTGGGAATTTCAGTGATGTGCCACAAACTCAGCTTTTCTTGTTCTCAAATCTGATTTTTCAAGCAAACCCTCTGCCTTTCTAGGTGGACAAGTTAATCGGACTTTAGTTACCCCTATTCCAGAGAGGCACATAGAAAGCATAGTGTGAGGAGGGAAGTTGCAAATACAAAGAGTCTTTGCAGAAACTTTGCAGGAGGGGATGGTGGTCAGGTGGGCAGGTGTTGGGGCAGGTCCCCGCCTTGTCGCCAACTGTATGAACTTGGACAAGATTATACTCACTGAGCCCTCATTTCATCATCCATAAAGGGGGCAGTTAGCACCTACCCCACCTATTAGGTGAAAGTGAAGTACGTAGTCAAGCGCGTAGCTCGGTGCTAGGCTCACTGTCAGGGCTCAAACAGAGGTGGCGTGGGGTGGTATCTTTCACCCAGTCTCTCTGTGCATTTGGACATGATCTACAGGGCCAACCATTGAGCTTTGTTCATAAAAATAAATATAAGAGGCATTCTCAGCCACTCTATGCCTGACTTCTTCCATGAGTTGGTTTTGACAACAATGAAAAAAAGTTACTATTTTTTATTTCAATCACATCACATCGGCCATGTCAAAATGCCCTGCTCCACTAAATGGTGGCTGTTGGCATCTCGATCATCACCACCATCCTCTCCTCCCGGTGCAGTTGTGCTCCAGCTCATTCTATCCTTTCCTAGCAAGGGCGAGGGAGCCCCGGGCTGGACTGACCAGCCAGGGGAAGCCAACTAGGGATGTCCAACATTGAATGGGGCCGTCCCAATGGCACACTGCTCTGTGGAGGGCCCATCACTGCCTCCAGAGTTGTGGATGAAACTCCTCTAGTGGCTTTGACCTTAACCCTGCTATCAGCTTAATGCATCTGGCACCGTGAGTATCCAGGAATTCAGGGACCTGTGGAAGCAGCTGATGCTCTATCAGGTAAGAACAGGTGTTCCCCACACCCCATGGGATGGAGCAGAAATGGCAGTTCTGCAAAGCTGTGTAAGATACTTCTCTCCCTTTCAGCCCTCCTGCCCAAACACTCACCCAATCTTCTCTAATGTCCTTTGAGTGAGCCCTCCCCTCTCTCCCAAACTGAGAGCCTGTGGCAGTAGTCTCCTGAACTTCTCAAGGACACATCCGATCATGTGCTTCCTTACTAAAAGCTTTTTGAAACTCCCCCTGGCCTTCAGATCAAGTCCCCACTCCTTAGCGTGGCATTTAGAGTCCTTCATAAATTGGCCCCCTCCTGCTTTTCCAATCATTACTCACAACTCTCCCCGTCTCCTGAGTCATAAAGTTGGAAGCCCTTCAGAGTCTGGATGATATACTTAGATTATGCACATTTACCTATACTCGCACTGTCCATGCCCTGGGACACAAAGACCGCTCTCGGTCCGAAGCCTTAAGGAGAACCGGGAGAGGGGGTGGGGTCCTGGCATGGACCCTCTGCCTTAATCTCGCTGGGGCAGCTGGCCCCATAGGTGGAGCCTCATAGTCCTGCAGCCTTGACCCCTCTCAGGCAGTGCTTGGAAATGGCTGGCTTCCTTAGCCTTTGGTGTGGCTTCTTCGCAGGAGGTTTTCCACAAGCAAGACACGAACCAGTCAGGATCCCTGAACTGGGCCCAGCTGCGGGCCGCCATGAGGGAGGCAGGTAAGCACGGGGTGGCGGGGAGTGGGTGGGGTTCTGGTGCTACCGGGGCACACACCCACCAGGCAGGCTGGGGAAGGGGTACGCGAAGTCCTGCAGTAATTCTGACAAGCAAAGTTACTCCCTGAGTTTCGAGGCCCAGAGATGAGGATCTGCAAATAACTGAAACATTTATTACCGTCACTACGATTGATCACAGCTAACATTTATTGAAGGCTGGAAATCCTCACTCCCATTTAATCTTTGCCACACCCTGTTATAAGCCCCACTTTACAGAGGAAGAAATTGAAGCTCAGAGAAGTTAAGTAACTTGCCCGGGGCTTAAATCCAGGGCTTCTGGGCTCCAAGGCAGATGCTCCTGACCACTAAGCCGACTGCTTCCTTCCTGCCTTGAAGGCTAGTGATTCACTTGATAAAAAGATCCTCATGCTGGTTGCCTAGGGGACCGAGATGGAGAATGAAGGTAAAATAAAATTAAGAGGCTAAGTAATTGAATGATACAGAATGATCCCTGTAAAAGAGGATCCTGTTCTGTTAGGGTTCAGGAAGTGGAGGGACAATTTAGGGGCCTCTGGTGGGAGGGGAGCTGGATGTGAGGCCCCGGCACCCATGGCAGGAGCGTGTTCGCTGCAGGAATTGTGCTCGGTGATGATGTCTGCCAGCTGATGCTTATCCGCTATGGTGGCCCTGATCTCCAGATGGACTTTGTCAGCTTTGTCCACTTGATGCTGCGTGTGGAGAACATGGAGGGTGAGCTGGGGAAAAGGGGCCCTGGGGCTTCCACTCCTCATGGATTGCCCACCTGTCCCCACTTCAAGCATGAGAGAGGACAGCTGCCAGTGCAGAAATCACAGCCAGCGTGCTGTGCGCCCCTGCAGCTGGGATCTACCTTGTCTGCTCCAGGGCAAAGGTTTGAGGTGGCCGGCTTATAATAAGTGTGGCCACGTGTTTGCCCAGAGGCCAAAATTGAGATGCTGGGTGAGGGGACCTAAGGGAGGAACTAGCCCCTAATGTTTCCAACACACACACACCGTAGCTGTGTTCCTTTCTGCCACATTTTCACAGATGTCTTCCAAAACTTGACCCAAGATGGCAAAGGGATATACCTCCAGAAGCCAGAGGTAAGACCTTCCCCACCGGGTTGGCTAACATTATCTTAGGGAGAAGTGGCCGCTGCAGGTCCAGGGTCCTGTGAAGGAGAAGGGTTCTGGGGCCCTTTCTTCTCCTGAGTTCAGGATGCAGGGCTGTATTAATTGCACTCAGTCATCCATTCATCAGATATCACTGGCAACCACCGTGTGCCGGGCACATGTGCAGGGAACAGGAGATTGACTCAGTGCCCAGTAACTATGACCTCAATCACGCCGCATGACAGATCCAGACAGCTTCAGTGGCGACAGCAGCATTTATTCGGCTCCCCCGGCATGTGGCGGGGAGTCAGCGGGTCCCAGCTGGCTCATGCATCGGTGGGTCAGCTGGGGCTTTGCCAGGGTTCCTTCACTGAGGAAGCTCTGGCCAGGCTCGCTCATCTTAGGACAATGGTGGAAGCACAGGGGAGCCACTAAAACACACAGGGGCTCTGAGGCCAGGGCTCCCATCTGGCAGCTGTGACTTGCAACCCCTTCTCTTGTCCAAAGCAAGTCCTATGGCCAAGCCCACTTCCCCTCTGCCAGGAGAGGAACTTCAAAGTCACTTGCAGAGGGTAGACCCAGAGAAGGGTGGTGACCTGGACTGGCAATCAACTCTAGCACAGACAGTAGTAGGGCAGCTGGCTGGATCAAGCCTTCCACAGAGGCCTTTCAAGAGCAGGTGACATCGAAGCTGAAACATCACAGATAACCAGGAGCCAGGCAGGGAGAGTGGAGAAGAGGAAAGGCCCGGCTGAGAGGGACGGCATGTGTGCTCAGGGCTGGAGTGGGGAGAGTGGGGAAGCTGGGTCCAGAGGAGTCTGAAGAGATCACAGTCAGATCAGGTAAAACCTACAGGCTAGAAATAAACCTCCTGTCAAGGGCTGGCTGAGCCTTTCCCATATGGGCAGGGGTTCCCATCTTGTCTCTGTATCCTCTTCCCAAATTGCTTTGCACATAGTAGGTGCTTGATAAATGTTGGTTGAATGAATGAAGTGATATTCTGAGGAGGAAACAAATCTGTGTCTGACACTGATTGTCTTCCCTGATCATTCAGGCTGCATGGATTCACTGAGCACCTCCTCTGTGCCAGGTGTGAGACCAGGTGGTGTTCACTGCAAAGACACTGGAGTCTGGAATTGGGTCCTCTGCCCTTTCTTTCCAAAACACAGCCTCTGAGCAGCTTAGAAAGGGACTAGTAAAAGCTGAGATTTCTTCCTTGACCTCAGATGTCCATTTTATGGAATAATCTAAGATACAGGGACTCCCTCTATCGCTCCCATATTTGAGTATGAAGGTAGGATGCAGCTGGAGGGGCAATGGTTAGAATCTTCTGAGCACATCCACACCCACAGATCCCCAAGGTCCCCTCCTGATCCCAAGCAATCCTTCCATAGCAGCAGGCTCAGAGCAGAGAGAGTGGGACAACAGGACACCCACAGCCTGAACGGGCTCCTGAAAGAGACGTGCTTTCATGGAAAGAGAGCTGGACCGAGACTCGGGTTGAAGCCATAGCAGTCCTTGCAACTACCTGTGGGACTGTTGGCAAATCACATTCAATCTCTGGGGCCCAACTTCCCTATGTGTGGGTTGGGCTGGGTCTTCAAGATTCTCTCCAGCTCTGACCATCTCTGGTTCCTTGAGGAGATCCTCAAGGCAATCCAAGTTAGTCTACAGGGACTGGCAGCCGACTTGATGGCGTTTCCCTCTGGGGTTTTCTCTGACATTGTTGCTAACTTCACCATCATCATCTTCATCATCTCTAGCATCCGCATCACAATTTTTATGTAACGGACCTGGGAAGTGGTTTCCCCAGAGGTCCCCCCGTGTGAGTTAGAGGGACCACTCATCACACCCACATAAAGCTGTCAGACAAATGGGCCCATAAATGTAAACACGGAGAATATGTGCTAATGGATTTCTGCTACCTGGCCGGTCCACACCTGCACACTGCTGTCACGAGCATGCCAAATTGAATTTGTGGGGGAAAATTGCATTGAGAATTGAATATAGAATCAGCCTGTATCTTGGCTATCATCATTCACAAGCACCATGAGAAGTCAAGGTTGATTATATTTCAGGTTGATTTATACTTACTACCGGATAGTGAGGTCCCTCTGGCTAAACCATCCATTAATGTCCTGTCTCCATGGCTTCCCAGGAGTGAGAGGGAGGCGGCCCCAAGTCCTGTGTCAGGCTCTAGGACCTGGTGACTGTGAAGTGAAGCATCCTTAACTGATGGGTCTGAACAGACCATAATTTGCTTTCCCATTATTCCAGTGGTTGATGATGACTCTGTACACCTGAGAAGGCTGGACGCTCATTGGCCCTCATTCAGGACTCTGCATATGGCTTAAGGGTGGACTTTGGCTGAGACCAGCATATGCTCAACCCACCTGCAGTTGGCTGGACCACATCTCCAGCCATCACCTTCTCATCTGGGAAGACTTCTTTTCTGCAGATCACCCGCTTTGGATGGCCAGCATGCAAAAAGGGAAGGGAGATAGTAACGATCGCCTTGGACTTGTAAAGATCAGCTCTTTCTCTGTGATCACAACCTTGCCACAAGCAGAGATGTGGCTTAATCAATCTGCTCCAGACTTGGCGTGCTTAACCTTTATACAATGCTGCCTCCATGGATGTCCAACTTAAATGACCTTAGACATGCCAAGTGTCATCACATTTGGGGTAATAGTCTAGGTTTCAATGTCTGAAGAGGGAATGATACATTTGTGGACACCTGTACCGGCATCTATAAATTGATAGAGGCGTAGGCTAAGTTTTAACTGTTTGAGGGAGGGATGGGGATATATTGAGCTTTCAAGAGCACAGAAAATGACAAAATTGGTAGGGACTAGGTGAGATGGGCTGGCTTTGGCACCTGAGGTCACTGGGTGATCTTCTGCTGACAATGTCTCCAGATGATTGGACTTGGGGAGGTACCAGTGGATTTAAAATACCTGACTTCTTAAAGGGCTTCCTGCTTCAAATGGGTGTTAGTCTATTTACTTGACCTATGGGCTATCAAATCTATTTCAAAGAACAACAAATCCATGCTACATCATTGAGTTAATCTGTAGACAGTTGGTATATCTTATCTTTTTGAACTACATAGATACCTCATTTTCCTGGCATCCCTAACAACGCAGAACCCAGGTGGAAAACCACAGCAGTGGCCATTTTCCAAAGCCCATGAATTTTACTCATAAGTTAGCAACCCAGAGCCATTTGTTAAAATTCTATTTATTATTAATTTACAAACTATTCTAACAAACATAGCTATCTGGTTTCCAGGTCCAGCTAAAGATGGAGGCTGAATAAGGGGATAAAAGAGTGTCCATTGGCAGAACTAGAGGAAGTGTGACAGCCCGGTAGGTGGGCTCTGCAGGGGGACAGAGCACTTTCAAAGCATGGCTCAAGGAAGTAGGAAAGCATTTTATTTAGAAAAACTTTTATTTATTCCAAATGATAAAATGTAAAATGGTTTGCCATAAAGTACCATCTACAGTAGTAAATGAGGTATTACTACTTTTGTAGCATCACGTATTTATAGTCTTTTAAAGATTTATATGTCTATTTATTTATCAGTATCTGTGTCTTTAGACTCTGCCATTGTAAATATTTGTTTTTATTAAATAATTGTTGCTTTGCTCCATGAAGGCAATTATGCATATTTTTTTGGGTGGTAGGAAGGTGGTACCCTTATCCCGTTCATGACTCTTGCATTACAGTGTGATGGTTCTGCTTGGTGCAGAAGGAATCTATGTCCAAATTAATTAAATCTGATAGAGCTCCCCCTTTTGGCTTCTGGGGGGTCTGAGCTGCCCCCCTGACACTCATGTGTTATCCTCACTACCCTGAATTTATGTACCACTGTGGCAACTCAGAGATGACGTGTGCCCTGCTGACCTCCATCCCTGCTGAGCCCCTCCAATGCCCCCCAAAGCTGAGTACTGGAGAGAGGGGCAGAGCCACCTCCCCCTCCTACCTCACCCCTGCCCATCTTCTGTCACTCCAGGGTGTGGGGGAAGGGAAAAATCTAGGACAGAATAGACTGTTCAAGCGTCAGAATAAAGTCATGCCACAGGTCTGAGTGGTAGGTATCAGTGGTGGACACCAGAAGTCAAAAGCCAAAGCTTATCATGACCAAGCAGGTGGAAGGTGTGGAAGCAGGTGGAAGTCCAGGAAAGGAGGAACAAGGAGTTGGTCCTTAGATTCCAAGAGAGGTGAGGTCAGGGAGTCCAGAAGGTTGTGTTGTCCAGAGGTCCAGCCCAAGCAGTCACACATGCCGGGGGAGCCTGTCCTAGGCTTTCAAATCTCAGAGAACAATGACGCTAATTGATAAAAGAAAAGGACAGTGCCAGAGGGGGCTAAAATATCTGCCCTTTCTCTATCCCTGCTTTTCCACTTCCCCTTCTCTCATGTTTTGTATAAAGACTCAGTCACCCGAGAGAAACTTCCAGATTCCAGTTAAGGCCCGGGGCAGGGCAGTCAGCAGTTGGCTGTAAGGAGCACGACCTTCCCTCTGCCGTCACGCTGGGTTAGAGTGATCTCAGCCTCCGAGATTTTCGAGCCGATGTTTTCCCCATTAAATATTGGTATTTCTATTTATACTGAAATAAAAAAGGAAAAACTGAGTTTTGTGGGTACTGGGTGGGTAAAGGGGGGCCAGCTCTGCCTGGCCTGGTGGAGGGACAAGCTATGTGCCCAGCTCTGGGGGAGCTCTGGGAAGATGGCCCCCTGGGGTCGCCGGCCCTACGGCCTGAGTTACCAGCTCCCTCCCAGTGTCCCCAGGACTGGGCAGGTACAAAATCCAGCAGGGATGAAAGTGAGGGGAGGTAAGGCAGGAACATTCTAGCTGGGTGACGTGGGACCTCAGGTGACTCATTTGCAAAATGCAGCCCCAGATATCTACCTTACTGGGTCACCATGAAGAGTAAATAATGCTGGTAAGCTGTCGGCACTTGATAAATGAAGCACCTCTTTTTCCCTTGGGCAGTCCAAGTATTTTTTTTCTACAACTATTATTATTTATTTTTGGTTTTGGGTTTTTTCCTAAAGGTTCTGTACTTTATGAGTAATTTGTGAAATATGAACTATTATTATTAAATTTTCACTTTTAGCCATAATCCTAAACACCTCTTAGATTCTTTTTTTTATAATTCATAAATAGATAGTACTTTTATTTATTTTTATTGAAGTATAATCAGTTTACAATGTTGTATTAATTTCAGGGAATATTCAATATCTTGTAATAGCCTATATAATGAAAAAAATATGAAAAGGAATATATACATTTATTTTTGTTTGTTGTTTTCAAGACATGGTCTCCCATCCTGACCACTCTTCTGAAATGCTCAAGCTGTTATACTCCATTTCTACTTTCCTCTTCTTCCTCCACATCCCCTCTCTGGACGTATCACCACCTCTGTGAAGTGTGGCCTCAGGAGGGCTGCCCCCGTCTCCAGTGCCAGGGTCCCAGCTCCAGGGACCTCTGAGAAAGGGGCCATCTTGTTATTGAAGTTCCTTTTAAGTGAAACATACAGCAACTCTGCCTTCTGCTCACCTGGAACCTCGGAAGCAGGAGAAGGCTTACTCATTGAAGCCCTAGGGTGTCAGTGAGGGGTTCTCTGGACCACAGATACAGTCTGGAGACCATACTGACCAGCAGATGTTTCAGAAACTCTGCTGGCTAATTTAGATGTGACCTAGGACTAACCTGCCACTAGTAGGGAGAAGGCATGACCAGGATGCAGTTACTCTCCATTAGACCAACGTCCTCTCAGTGATCTCCACTGACTGGATCAGTAGGTTAACTCAGCTGGTTTGCATGTGGCCTGGCATGGTAAGGCCAGTTGGGAAGTGAGCTCTTATCTCATTCACTTGTCCAGCCAGCCAGCTGTTCAAACATTTACCCATCCATCAGAAGACGTGTCAGCCTCCTACAGTGGGTCGGGAGCTGTGTGAGGCATTGGGGACACAGAATCACGGTCTACTGGGGTGACAGATGACTGACAGGTGGTCTGAGGTGCACTGTGGTGGGCATGCACCGAGTGCTATGGAAGACCTGAGGGCAGGTGCCAGGCCAACCTGAGAAGGTCAGGGGAGGCCTCGTGGGAGTGATGCTTAGCCATCTTAAAGAATAGAGACAATAAAGGAGAGCAGCGAGGTTCCAGATAGAGGGTCCTGCACGTGGCAATAAAAAAGATACAGAATCAAGGAAGGAAATGGTGTGTTTGGAAAAGGAGCAGCGAGAGCTTAGCTTGTGGGGTAGTGGTGGGAGTGAGGCCGCACAGACAGTTGGGGGCCCGGCAAGCTCTGTCCTGGTGTCGGCAGCCTTCAGTGATCAGGCCGTGGGACCCAGGCCAAAGTTCACAGTAGCTTGCACCTCGTAAGAGGTAAATGTAAGCATGCGCCAGTAGCATGACCACCACGCATGTGCCAGTATCATGAGTCAGCATTATGAACAATACGCATGCGCAGGCAGAATATATCTATATATGTGTGTATGTGTAGATATATAAAGGACAAGTGAGCCACGCCGGGGCGCGCCATCTTGTTGAACCAGAAGGAAGTGCTGAGCGCCGCCTGCCGCGCGCGCCACCAGCTGCAATACTGCAAGAAAGTGCTGTTTCACTCCATGTTGGCTCCTCGCGCATTATGTCGGCTCTCCGAGCATTTTTCCAGTTGGGCAGCTCACCTCCTGGAATCCCTCTCCAGCCTCCAGCCTCCCTCAGCTGACACCTGGCATTGAGCTCTCTCCTGAGGGGCTGAGGCATCAGCCAAGAGCTTCAAGCTTGGTCATGAGATGCTCGATCCCTTCCTCTCCACCACTGTCAGCAGGGTCCTCAGAGTCTGAAGAAATGAATTCAAATCCCAGTCTTAGCTCCAGGGACCTGCGTCAAGGTACTTCCCCATTCTGAATCTCTGCAGCCTCATCGATAAAACGGTGAGTACCATACTAGCCTCACAGGGTGAGTTTCATAAGACGACATTTGAGCATGTCTGGCATTTGCCAGTGCACTTAAAAAGATTAACCTGATTTCTCCTCCATAGGGAGTCACCTTTCTTCCCTCATGGTGGCTTGTGCTGAGGCTGTGCAGGCACTAGATGGCGCTCTGTCCCTACACAAGAGCTCTTTCCTGGGTGCCTGACTGCAGAGGACAGCTTCAGCCTCCAGTCTGGGAGACCCTGGCTAATTTAGTGTCCTGCCAGCCTGACTCAGCTCAAAAGCCCAGCTTTAGCCCCACAGGGACTGACTGTCCTTTTCTTGCCTCCTTTTTCCTGCTTAGTTTTTAATTGATGCACTGCATTTTATTGTATACAGTTTATTCATTTCTGAAAAAAGCAAACTATGTTTTTAAGCCCTTGTTTCAAATGCATCTCTTTGACGATGCCCCTAGTCCACTCATTCTTGCACCCCAGCGCCTGGCTTAGTACCTAACTCACATTTGGTATTTATTGAATGAATGAATGATTTTTGAAGTAATTTAAGGTGAGTCATTTAAAAAGTCCACCGATTTGAGTTTTTTAACTGAAAATATTAGTATGTGAAGTTAGCTTAGGGACATGACTTTCCTCTAGAAGGGTCCTTATGATGTTGCGTAAGGTACAGTTTCACTCTGATGCCAAGCACCATGCCCTGACCAAGAGGGCAGTTTAAACCACCTTTGAAAAGCTCACTAGACCCTGTCTGAAGACATTCTTCGTATCTTGACATTCCAGGGTCTTGGGCATCATTTTCTCGTATACATTCAGAGTTCATCCTCCCAGAGGGGTTAACAAGTTGAGCAAATTTCCAGGGACGTTTGCTTTTAGGGTGTTAGTGGCAGTAGAAGTTCTGTAAGCAGTGGGAAGGGGCTGGTCCTGGGCCAGATCCAGGCCAAGGTCAAGCCTAGTTATTCAGTCCTCATCTCCATCCTAAGCTTCGATGCGTGTAGCTGCTCCTGCTTACAGAAGAAAATGCAGACAGTAGTTGCACAGCTGGACACCGGCAGGGTGGGCTGGTGGAAGGAGGAGGGCCTCACCTTGGCAAGGAGTCTGAGTGTTTTTTGTTCTCCTGAAAAACTCTCCATGGGGCCTTAGATGGTTCCCTGACTTCTCAATTCAACTATTTACAAAAGTTATGTGTGCAGTTGGAGGAAGTTGGACTGTATAACTTCTAAATCTGCCTCTGGCTGGAGATAAATTTGCCAGGAGCACAGGCTGAGCTTAAAAAAAGATGCTTGCTTGAGGCCAGCTTCACCATTTACTAGTGTAAATTACTTCTGGTGAGTTGCCAATGTATCTGTGGTCCCAAGGGAGACTGGATCACATGATCACGTAGATCAGCTGCTTAGCGTAGAGCCAGGCCTCCACTCAGCAGAGCCCCCTGGATTCCACTGGGGGAGAAGGTAAGTGGTTTCTGAAACAGAGCAAACCAGAGGCCAGTTGGGTTTGCAGGCACTGCCTGGAAAGGGGCCTGTGAGATTGTTGCTGAGGTCAGCTCGTTGGTGTCCAAGTGCACATGTGAACGACACCAAGGCTTCCAGAACTGATGGTTTCTTTACATTAGACTATGCCAGGCTGTCCAGGCTGTGAGGTTTGAATCCTGCAAGCTCTGTTGTGAAAGTTTTTGTTCTTAAGGGAGTGAGAATGATCCAGAGTGGGTGGGCTAGTG